CACTTCACCTCCAGCAGGGCAGATGGCTGCACAAGTCCATCGGGTGATGCTCCCAGAACACCCGACTCACTCACAAAGAGACCAGACTCGATTCGAACACTGTCACTTGATAGGCCTCCACAAAAGCCTTCACCCCTTCGGCCTCGTTTACAACCCCCCAGTTGACAGTTGGCGATGTCTCTGGCCAGTGGGTTGTATGTCTCCTCTCGCTGATGGTAAAGTTGAGACACCGGCTGGACTACTTTGGAAGTGCCAGGCTTCCTCCACTGGCACTCAACATCTGTGGAGCTGATCTGCCACATGGCAAATATTGCCAATGCTGCAGCGTGGCTGCATTTGTACATCCCCTGTGCACAATCACAGACAGCGCTCTGCATCGCGCCATTGTCTCCCATGCAGATCTGTAAAAATAAAGTAAGTACCATTTGTTAGCATGCTATAATAGATTGAATGAGCAATAATACAAGGATGGTCCGGATCTGGGGGTGGGAGGGTTTATTTTTCCATAGTTTTGTCCTCTTGTCTGTTGTTATTGTTTGTTTTTTTGTAATTTGTGTTGTATTGGTTGTGATTGTACATTGTATTTTTCTAAATGTGTATGAATACGTTTTTGAAAAACATTTGATCAACAATAAAAAAGGATTTGGTCAGGATCTAGACTCAGTGTGTAGTTTATTAATTAATCAATGCTCTCTACATTAGGAAAACACATACCAGTGTACCAGAGGGAGTCACACACAGCTGTGACTAGATAACCAAAATCCTTGAATCGACACACAGCAAATAAACTCAAATGACACAACGAGAAAAAGGAGATCACACATACAGTATAGTCGATATAAAACTGGCCGCTTCAATCTGAAGAGCAACTAAAACAAAACACGGGAGTGTACCTTGTTCTTGTGAACACTAATGTTATCCACAGCATACACAGAGACCACGAAGTTCTTAAGGAGAAAACTAGTTGCTAAAACAAAACACGTTAGTGTACCTTGTTAGCTAATGTTAGCTAGCTGACATTAACGTTACACATTGCACTCATATTACTCACCGAAACCTTGTAAAGCCGGTCCCGCATGCTGGCTCTTACAGAACCGACTAACTCCCCTTTCATATAGGTACAGCTCTCAACGTGCCCAGACTTGTAGTGATTTTCACCTCGTAAAATACTTTTATTCTCATTCTGAAAGAATGTGGTGAAATGTGCTAACGTGACGGCCATCTTTATGTTGGTGACGCGTATTGTGCGAGACGAGAGACCTGTAGTTCACTGAGCGGTTTCACACGAAAAAATGTGTAACTTCACAGTTTTACGACACATTTTTATTTTTTTGACTTGCAAAATGTTCTTTTAAATTGACAAACATCATATGTGTCATTCGTGGCACAATTCAAACGGGATCAAAAGATAACCTTTCTCTCTCCATTGACTTCAATGTATAATTTTCCGCTTCCGGGGTCCCATGGAGGCTTTCGGAAGGGGAGGGACTTCGCCTCTCTATTGAGTAAGAACCGGTAAGAACATGTTTTTATGAACCGCACAGCTTCCGGTCTACTAAGACCCGACGGACAAAACGTGGCGTATCATATGCACGCAAAATCGGACTTCTGCGTATCTATTGCACGCATTTCCAATGTGTAAAGTCGTGTCATTTGTACGCAGACTGAAGAGAGTGGGTTGTTTGAACGGCTCACTCTGACCTGGAAGACCATTGTTGTTGTAGGAGATGCCGGTGTTGTGTCACATTATGCCTCCCCGTCATGAAATGCCCCCCTTGTCACGGGAACGCGCATTTCTAAATGACACGTTTACACCTCTAAATGACACGTTAACACCATAGGTTTACACCTTAAAACGATGTTTAAAACGAAAAGTAAACGTTCAGGGTTTTTATTAATGGTAATTTTCAGACTGTGAGTTGTTTAGTGGTAGCTCATAGTCTTGATTCTTCTGGTTTAACTTTTCGCTCCGTATATGAGGTGTCGAAATTCGTTCGTCACTTCCTTTTCAGTTTGTTTTTTTAAATGTTTTTTTTATCATTATTGTTACGTCCTGTCTGTATAAACGTGCTTTAAAATGTATTGTTTAATTTTACATAGTTGTCATCTAATAATCTAAATATGTTTACAAATGTTACATAGTCTTTGTCAGCATATATGCTATGCGTACAAAATAAAAGTGTGACATTCATGAAACTTGCTCCATTTATTGGTACCAGTCCTAGAACCATACCCTGAAAAATGCTTGAGGGTGGGATTCATAGAAACCTCTTTTGGTGGGGGGGGGCATTTTATGACAGGCCTGGCCATCACAATATGCCCCCCCTTGCTATCTTACAAAATAAAAGTGTCACATTCATGAAACTTGCTCCATTTATTGGTACCAGTCCTAGAACCATACCCTGAAAAATGCTTGAGGGTGGGATTCATAGAAACCTCTTTTGGTGGGGGGGGAATTTTATGACAGGCCTGGCCATCACAATATGCACATTACAAATAAAGAAAATTAGCAGAAATATGTTTCCAGACTTTATCAACATAACATTTGCGTTGGTAATTGCTACTATATTTGGCATCTTCAGCATTAACTGATAAAGGATTAATGGTTTGCTTGTTTTTCCATACATTTTTGTTGAAAATGTATTTCTTTCTCATAACACAACATTTATGTTTTTGAAAGATTTCGATTATTGAAGGAATGGTTAGAATGTTAGTGGGAAATACATTAGAGATATTCTATTATCATAACAAAATCCCATAATGCATACCTTACATAACAAGTATTTATTGTTTTCTCAGATTTGCTGTGACATTTGTCAGCAGTGGTACCACCACCAATGTGTACAAAGGCCGCCAGTTGATCAACCGTACTTGTGCCCTGGATGCACATAATGCCCCGAAGGAACCATCATTAACTGTCCACTGTCATTTCAACCAATGCAACTATTGTTTGGCCTGTCATAAAATTCCCCTCCCCCACCAAAAGAGGTTTCTATTAATCCCACCCTCAAGCATTTTTCAGGGTATGGTTCTAGGACTGGTACCAATAAATGGAGCAAGTTTCATGAATGTGACACTTTTATTTTGTAAGATAGCAAGGGGGGGCATATTGTGATGGCCAGGCCTGTCATAAAATGTCCCCCCCCACCAAAAGAGGTTTATATGAATCCCACCCTCAAGCATTTTTCAGAGTATGGTTCTAGGACTGGTACCAATAAATGGAGAAAGTTTCATGAATGTCACACTTTAATTTTGTAAGATAGCAAGGGGGGGGCATATTGTGATGGCCAGGCCTGTCATAAAATGCCCCCCCCCCCCACCAAAAGAGGTTTCTATGAATCCCACCCTCAAGCATTTTTCAGGGTATGGTTCTAGGACTGGTACCAATAAATGGAGCAAGTTTCATGAATGTGACACTTTTATTTTGTAAGATAGCAAGGGGGGGCATATTGTGATGGCTAGGCCTGTCATAAAATGCCCCCCCCCCCCAAAAAAAAAGAGGTTTCTATGAATCCCACCCTCAAGCATTTTTCAGGGTATGGTTCTAGGACTGGTACCAATAAATGGAGCAAGTTTCATGAATGTCACACTTTTATTTTGTACGCATAGCATATATGCTGACAAAGACTATGTAACATTTGTAAACATATTTAGATTATTAGATGACAACTATGTAAAATGAAACAATACATTTTAAAGCACGTTTATACAGACAGGACGTAACAATAATGATAAAAAAAAACATTTAAAAAAACAAACTGAAAAGGAAGTGACGAACGAATTTCGACACCTCAAATACGGAGCGAAAAGTTAAACCAGAAGAATCAAGACTATGAGCTACCACTAAACAACTCACAGTCTGAAAATTACCATTAATAAAAACCCTGAACGTTTACTTTTCGTTTTAAACATCGTTTTAAGGTGTAAACCTATGGTGTTAACGTGTCATTTAGAGGTGTAAACGTGTCATTTAGAAATGCGCGTTCCCGTGACAAGGGGGGCATTTCATGACGGGGAGGCATAATGTGACACAACACCGGCATCATACTTGAAAACATCGTGCAGAGTTCCTATATATGGACAATCCACAGGAGCAATTTGGGGTGAAGTGTCTCAGGGACACAACGACATGCTGACTGCAGTGGGGTTTGAACCTGTGCTGCCCTGATCCCAACACCAACACACTAGTCCACTGCGCCACAGCCTCCCCTAATTGACATGTTATAATGTGTTTCTTAATGTCTTTCTTTTATAAAGCCCTTTGAGGTGCCTTGTGTTGAAATGTGCTGTATGAATACACAAAGTAGACGTTCAGTGTAACCTTATATTCACAGAGATCTGGGGAGGCTGCTTTCTGTTTCTATGGAGCAGCTTCCCATTGGAGCTTTTAAAGTAGATTAAAGACCCATGTTTTTATGTTGGGGTCATTGTATTGGTCTCACTGATCATGTTTGATGGCTCTGTGATATCAAACTGTATTTTTCAGTTAAAGGAATTGTATAAATTAAGAATAATGGGACTATATGAAGCAGAATGTGAAGAAGTCGATGTACTCTGGTCCTGCTTCGGTACATGTTTGATGTGATGTCTGTTCTTTATTTACAGGTCCCATTGTTATTATTATGATTAGTATGGGCCGCTCTCCGCCGTCTCCTCCAGCAGGACTCAGGTGAGGGTGTTGCACTTTTCATCGTTTATATATTGATATTTGTGGGGTCAATAAATCAACCTGATGTAAACACTAACACAATGAAGCACATCTGAGAAGACACAGAGACAACACTCTGGATACATCTGCTTTGTTGGAATCTGCAAATTAAAAATAAATACAAATTATGTTTTGAACTCACCTTGGAGTATTTTGAAAGTGGTATACTTCCACAAGTGGTGATAGGATGACGTGGTGACACACACTCTTGTACAGTAGGTGGCGGTATATGCACTTTCAATCCGCCATTAACTTCTTCACCCATGACACCCACCCACAGCCTGACACAGCAATCAAGTTACGTAATACGCAGTACAGAAGCCTCTGCGTAGTAGGCTACGTACCAGAAATAACGTAAGGTTCATAGTACTACCACACAACTTCAAATATAGTTATTCACTGTGAGCTAAGTGTACTCTCTGTAAACTAATGTTGTTCCAGAGGGAACACATGTTTGATGTCAGTCTTCAGCTTCTCTTCCTGCTGACATGTGGAGTTACACTGGGACAGGAAGCCGGTAAGAAGCTGCTCTCAACTGCTTTGTTATGCTAAAGCTAATGCTAACGTTAGCAACAGAATTCATTCATTCAAGTGAAGCTAACGGTAGCTAACTAGCTTAGCTCCTAGCTAAAGATTCAAACTTAAAAAGCTTAATTGTTTAAAGCACAATAGTTACAGCGAAGTGTTGACGTCTCTCTTATAAATTAATGATCTTATACATGTGTGCATATTCATTATAATGTGTGTTATCGTTATTAGAGCTAATTTTAAAGAGCTATCAAAGTGTCCCATAACTTCTTGTTGTCATTACTGAAGTAGAAAAGTGCTGTTAAAGTTATTTCATCTAAATGCCAGGCTTGGTTTTATTGTATAGAGGAGCTGTGTTGATGTTGTGGTGACTTTATAAACAGCTTCATGTGTCTGTGTTATAAACATGGATGTTTTAAAGAAGTTACTGCAGGTTTTTACTTTCGATCTCTCTCTTCATGTTAAAACAGCAGCAGCTGCTAAGATGGCGACCCTGCTTTTCTTCACTACTGTGATTAATGGAGGGTCGTAATGCTGCATGATAAAATCAGTATTTATTAATGATTATCGATACATATTTATGAATAATTACCCGTTGTAGTAGTTGTAACTTGTTTTTTGGCATTTCTTTAATTCAAGTCCAGTTTCTACGAGCCTTTTTAATCACCTATTTTTGGAGAAGTACTCAGATCGTGTACTTGAGTAAAAGTAGAAGTACTCAGATCTTGTTCTTGAGTAAAAGTAGAAGTACACAGATCTTGTACTTGAGTAAAAGTAGAAGTACTCAGATCGTGTACTTGAGTAAAAGTAGAAGTACTCAGATCTTGTGCTTGAGTAAAAGTAGAAGTACTTGAGTAAAAGTAGAAGTACCAGAGTGTAGGAATACTCTCTTACAGTAAAAGTCCTGTATTCAAAATGTTCCTCAAGTGAAAGTAGAAAAGTATTCTCATCAAAATATAGTGAAAGACAGTAAAAGTATTCATTGTGCAGATTGGTCCATTTCAGAATAATATATATATATGTTTTATAATGATTGATCATGAAAGTGTTCTCAAAGCTGGTGAAGGTGCAGCTAGTTTTAATGGCTTTGTATACTGCAGGGTAGCTGGTGGATTTACTCCAGGTGGAACTAAAGTCTGATTCAACACTTGGTTAGATTTACCATCATTCATCCAGATCTGTGAAGTAACTGAAGGGATTAAATACATGTAGTGGAGGAAAAGTACACCATTTACCTCTGAAGTCCCACCTCTGTCGATATATATATATTTTTTTTTTTAAGTCAATATTGAAGTTATTTTTTATTTTAACCCAGGTAATAGGAGATGTTTTAATAATCTACAAACTACTTTTCCCCTTTTAATTTCATGTAATGCATTTTTTTAACTGTGTTCTCTTAGACTTCCAATGCATTGCTGCAGTAATGATACCTCTGATGTCTTTACTTCAGTCTTAAAGATGATCAGCCGCTCAGGTGTTGCTCTGTTTACAGCATTGTTGCACATATCGAATCAGTTCATTTATTTTCCCGTTCTTGTTGTCCATTAGCCTTCCCACAGAACCTCTGAGTCAACAGATATTGGTTTCTACTTACATCCATGAGAGCTAATTGGCTTATACAATAATGATGAAAATGTGCTTTATCTTCCAGGTGCTGTCAGAGTGGTTGTTCCAGAAAGTAGAGATGCTTTATTACCAGTATCTATCGGCAGGGACGCTGAAAGAGATTACTTTGAATGGAGGAAGGTCGGTCCTCGAGGAGAAACTCAGAACGAGGTTTTCAAGTATGATGCCAGCCTCCATTACAACAATAACGGTCTTCCAGGTCAGAGTGAGCAGTTCAAAGGACGAGTCTCAAATGTTCTCTACGAACTGAAGAACGGCAACGTCTCCATCCTCATCAGAAACACGACAGCAGCCGACAGCGGAAACTACACCTGTTATTTTTCACGTCTGCAGCGTCCTCAGACATTCTACTTTGAGCTGGATGTTGGTGAGTACTTTTGTTGGACGTACGTGCGTCTTGTGTTTGTGGCAGCAAAAGACGCTGCATTTGACCGGCCCTTTTGAACGACCCTTAAGAATTTAATACTAAACGTAAACATCGTCGGCTTCGTCAAGTTCATTTCATTGTGGAAAGATACATTGTGACGCTATAAACATCTAATTTATTATGTTGTTTGATGATTACAATACCAGAGTTCTTATGGCTGTTAGCTTGTAGCTGTAGCATCTGCCACGTCGGGTAAGAACAGGTTTACCCTCCCTCTGGTCATGTTAAATTTTTACATAACATACGTTTTTATGTTCCACCTGTTCACAGCTGCAACTCCAAAGCCGCGCGTTATGATTCTCAATACCACAGCAGACCGGGCCCTTCTGCAGTGTGAGGTTCCTGGTGCTTCTCTAAACACTAAAGCAGAGTGGCAGAGCGGAGATGGAAACAGACTCCAAGCTGAGGAGGAACGAGTCCCAGAGAAAGACCACGTCTTCATCTCTCTCAGCGTTAATGTGACCAGGACAGACCACTACCTCTGTGTGGTCTCTCAGGAGGACATCAAGCATTGGGTCTCTGCTCAGATCTCTGTGCACGTCAGTGGTGAGATGAGTTTATATGAAGTGATTTCAAATGTTCATGTGTGTAATTTAGCTTGAGAAGATTTATGACCTAGCCACACGGAGACGGAACCGGTCGTATCCGCTACAGTTCTCTATCATATAGACGGTTCGGCCACACAAGGCCAACAGGGAAACGCAGAAAACGATAACGGGTCCCAAGGTGGGTAGATCTGCGGACGGAACGCTCTGCGGGGTCAAACGGCTCTGTGTGTATGTCCGTGGTCCTATACGCCATAGCCCCGCCTCTCCTGCCCACCCCCGCGCCACCGCTGATGTGTTTCGCCAACAACAGTGTTCCGAGTGTTAATTTCGAGCCAGGTCCCGGTAGCGGGAGCCTCCAGCAGACCCCCCCCCCCCCCCCCCCCCCGCACAGTTCCCTCGTCCCTTGGAAGAGGCCGAGAGGTGGGTGTTTTTCATCTAACGTTCTGCTCGGGAGCCAGGCTCAGAGTTAGTGACAGTGGGTGCGGTGCACCTGCCTTTTACAGCAGGAGCACACGCTCGCCGGGAGGGAGATAAGAGAGAAACAGAGGCCGCCGAAACAGCCAGAGCGCTGCCTCTCTCCCCACCGCTGCACTACATGTTGGTAAATCCACCGGGGAAAATAAACAGAAGGGCGACCATGGCAACCATGCTCGGTCTTCTTCGCTGCTTTTGGTGTACTTTGTGGCGGAAGTACAGCACCACTTACAGGTCCGGCATATGTACTACAGCGTCTCCAGTGGGTCCAGCGGTCTGTGTACCGTGCGTGTGGACGGAAGACATTTTCCCGTGTGGCTCCAGCCTTAGATGTCCTTAGTGATGTTGTCCTGAACATTTAAAGTTACATTTATATTTTTGAATGATGTTTTTCAGAGAAAGAGAGTGAGGACAGCTCAGGGACCATGCTTATTGTTGGCATCACTTCATTCGTTTTGGGAGCTGTAAATCTTGCTGCAGTTCTGGCTTTGCTTGTATTTGCAAAGCGCATCAAAATACTCCACAATAAAGGTGAGTTAAAAACATAATTTGTATTTATTTTTAATTAGCAGACACCAGAGTGTTGTCTCTGTGTCTTCTCAGATGTGCTTCATTGTGTTAGTGTTTACATCAGGTTGATTTATTGAACCCACAAACATCAATATATAAACGATGATACCATACGACTGAATGTGTGATTCATTTACAGCAGTGAAAATAGAGAACTACCTGAATGAGAAGTGAACATAGTATAAATAAAAGTATCAGTCAGACTGCTGATGAGAGTCTGATGGTCCTCAGGGTTCATCTGTCAATCACACATTCATTCCTGCTGAAGAACATTCAGTCAATAACTAACACACACTACCAACATGGACATGTTTGGTTTGGGTTATAAATAACATTTCTGGGTTGTATCAAAGTTGACTTTATGTAATATATGTTTTTATCTTCTCTGCTGCAGATTCTGCTCTGAAGGGAGAAGAGGAGATCAACCTATCGTCTAACGGGACAAACGGTCCTGTTAGAGATCCTTCAGAGGAGCCACTGAGGCCAGTCCAGAGTTAGCGTTACATCTGATGAAAAGGTGTGTGAACAACCTGAGTTTCCTGAGTGAGAGGACATTCAGGTCCTCACCTGGTGCAGACCTTCAAAAGCCTTTCTGAGGGACCAGTTAGAATTATGTTGATGTTAAACAAGAGTTACTCCACATCTGTGGCTCCTGCTGTAAAACTTCCCCAAAGATGAAAAGAACCTAACCTCTTTTCCACACACCTCATCGGTCTGAAACATGCTCCTAAAGTTAAAAAAAACGTCTAAATACTTGAAGCTCGTTCTAGACGGATGTTCCCAGAGGAATGAATCCACTTCAGTTTGATCACATTCAAACACGAAGCTGTAAAATATCCTGAAACAATATATTAAAAAGAAGATAATTAAGTTAAAGGTATTTTGACAGCAGCGTTATTTAAGGGATTATCTTAAAGGGAATCTATTTATAAAAAAATTGTAATATGTGTTTTGAAAAATAGTTAAAAACAAGAAAGATTTCAATGAAAAGCGTTTCCTTAAAAATAACATGAAGGTAAAGAGGAAGGGGTTTTAATCGATCAACTTAAATTTGACAGAATTAGTTCACATCTAAAGAACCAGCTTGTCAGCTCCACTCTGGCAAAGATTGAACAGGTGTTACTTTAAAAAAAATGTTGTTCAGGTTGCAGCTATTCAAATAATAATAATAATAGCATATTTCTCTTCCAATATAATGTTTTAATTAGCAGTCTGAATGAGCTGACGGGTACAAAACCAGTTTGAATGAATATTCATGCCAATGGTTTGACATCAATCTGAGCCTTGAGTCACTTTAATATCGTAGATGAGAAGAAACACTTTGTCAGATCTGAGATTGTTGTAATCATGAATAAAGTTAAGGGTCTTCTCTGTGGGTTTGTAGTGAGTTTCCCCAAGCACTGACATTTTGGGGAAAGTAGATTTAATTCACTTTAACTTAAAAAATATTTGAGTATTACTTTTGTCTTTATTATAGTTTTATTATTTTAGAGAGACATGCATGTTTCTGCTGGGAAAACTCTTGCTAAAGTAAAGACGTGCCTTTTTATGGAATATATTTTCATGAAACTCATGTTTTGTTAGTTGACGTGTTTTTAAAAAGACATGCATCACTTTCTACGATAAAACAAGGATTGAATCTGTCAGAAATGTTCCTGATGAAGTGAAGTTTAATGAACCGCCTATTACAGGGTTTGTGTAAAAACAGATGTCTTTTTTTATTTTTCCTAAATCATCTTTATTTGTGTGTCATTCAGGGAATTTCAATAACTTTTTTGCACTCTTTTTCAATTTATAATTGTTTTGTCATTTCTGAATTTGTTATTTGACTGATGTCCTTATGAATGTAGTAAATATACGTTTACATTTCTGGGGATTATTTAACTGTAAATCATGTTTTTACACCGCAGTGCCCTGAGGCCTGTACTACGAATCCAGTCCAACAGACCCTGGGTATGTTTGAGTTATCCGTCTTACCTAACCCAAAACAAACGAGATCTCGCTAAGCGGTCCTACGACGCTGGTTATCAACTCGGTAACTCAAGCCAGGGTTTCTCTCTCCAGCTGAGAGCGCGTTCCCATGAAAGGGGCGGGGTTAGCAACATTTGACCAATCATAAACATGGAGAAGCGTACTGACAGCGCAGCGTCATACTTCCTGAATGAAAAGTAAACTATAATATTAGACATATGAAGAATTTTAACTTTAAACATCCATGACTTAAACACTTTATCCAGGATAAAAGCCACAGAGCTGCACCTGCAAGGTCAATACAGCTGCTAACAGAACAAGTGATTGAATGCGTACATTAACAGGTTCATGATATCATAAACCCTGAAGTTACCTCTCTAACCCGGAGTCAACCCTGACGGCCCCTACACACGGCGGCGTGCGTTACCGCTTGGCGGTGGGCGTGTCTGAAGCTTGGGGATTTTTTACGAACAACGCGACCAACAACCAATCACATGAATGTCCCGCCCCGGATAATACAAAGCAAAGCATTCATGCTACATCCATGCTGGCTAAATATACTGTCTATGCTTGCTAGCTGTCCATTCAAACGAAGTACACTGGATATAAACTCCCCAAACAGGCGAAAACCTACCAGTTTCACCCACTGTCTCTGCCACCTCCCCCCATGCCTGGCTCCTCCGGTTTGTATCCCTGTATGTAAAGAGGGACTGGTCATATAGTACCGCCACGATAATTTTCTCCTCCATTTTTTGACATATGGGAAATAACTGCGGTCTGGCTCTCCCAACATACACGCGGTTTGATTGGCTAGCGCTTGTAATGTCAGATTTGCATACACGGGATTTGATTGGCTGACGCCTCCGTCGAGGTGGCAAAAGTAGAACATTGCTCTACTTTTGCAGCGAGCACCGCGAGAGAAGCTACGCTTTGCTCCCACAATGCAGTTCGGCGAATCATGACGTCACCCCATTCAAAGTGAATGGGCAGAAGCGTTGAAGCGGCAACGCACGCCGCCATGTGTAGGCTCCGTGAAGTTACCTCTAACTCAGAGTTAACCCTGAAGTTACCTCTAACTCAGAGTTAACCCTGAAGTTACCTCGCTAAGCGAAAATCCTGCTTCGTAGTACAGGCCTCTAGAGTTTTATTGTGAAAGAGGACCAAGTTATATTAAGTTGAAGTTTCTCTCCAAACCTCATTGTGTGAATTATTTAGGGGATTTCTTTAAGTTTCAGCTGAAATATGTGCCTTTTTATATTCTCAGTTTGTCTTTTTTCTACTCTCACATGTTATGTTAACATGCTGAATGTATTATCTGCCAAAAATGAACCTGTTGTTGTTGCTGCTGTTTATATTCTTCTGATGCACTTTTAAGAAATGCACTTCTGCTTTCTTTGTTACAACAACTGTATTATAAATGTAGGAATAGATTTTTAAATAAACCCTGTGCCTTATACGGCTGGATCTGTCTTTTTTTCCCAATGCAACACCTGTCTCACTAACGACTACAGACAAATGTAATGAATGTAATTTATATTGAATTTAATTGAGTTCGGTAAAACACGGTACATCAATAAAAACATTGTCTTTAAAGTAATTCACTGTTCTATTTCGTATAAGGCTTCGCCCTCTAAGGCTATCGCTATTGGGTAATCCCACTGCACGTGTGCAGCACTGACAGACTTAATCCACGCCGACCTATGACGTGGGCCCCACCTCCGGGCTCACTTCCGTATAAATAGGAAGTAGTCCCTACAATCTGCTCCCACTTTTCTTCAGCACTCCGTTGCAGAAGCACTGTACAGGCACAAACTCTTTTCAGAGCTGTTTACTAGAAAGCAAACATTTCCCCCTGGCCCCATCCTCCTTCTCCTCCGGACGGGGGAAACAGGGTGGGGGCCCGGTGTCAACCCGACATACAGTATGAGTTACGACCGGAGCTCACGGTGTGAGTCCTGCCGGGGATTAGAGCACGCAAACGCGGCTCTCACTCCCCAGGTGTCGTGCACTCATTGTGTCCGTCTCCCTCTGGCCCACAGACAGTGGAGAGTGGACGCTCTCGCTGCTGCGGCCGAGGATGATTGGCTAGTCCGGGAGTCTTACTCTGTGGACCAAGCCCTTGATTTATGGGATCCCAGTGGCAGGCAGCAGTCAGGCGACTCCTTCCCCTCCATTCACGGATCACCATGGGGAGCCGGCTGTAACCTGTCAGTCAGCAGGCAGCAGGGCTCGTGGCACAAGCCAGCTGTATTTAACCAAGCGGTTATTAGACAGCAGGGCTTGACGTTTAAACCTGATGCTCCTAACCTGTCGGTTAGCAGGCAGCACGGTTTTTTTCCTCTGTCCCAGATGTGCCTACTACACACGGTCGTAATGAGCCCAGGGCTGTTATTACGCACTGTGTGAATAGCACTGCACACACCTCCGCTCATTCCTCAGCAGGTTTGAGCATGAACGCGCCTCAATGTCCAGTTTACGAGCCTTCTCCTAAACAGAGACAGGAGGAGAGCCGGTGTGAGATGCAGCGTGTGGAGGCCCCCTCGCAGCTTTTCGGTCCGGGCCCCTCTTGGTTTGCTTCACGGGCAACGGCGACGAGGCCTCTGACGTGGCTCGTCACCATGACAACCACAGCACATCCAGAGCAGGTTGCGCGCTCTCAGAATATTACTCAGAGTGGCGACGCGTGTGTTCGATGGACAGATGGATAATAATAAGCAGCAAGGCCCACCGGGTAAGCCGGCTGCCCCTAACCTGTCGGTTATAGGCAGCATGGCTCGCTGCATAACCGGATGTCTTTAAAACCTGTTGGTTTTTAGGCAGCTCGGATTTTCTCCTCTGTCCCAAACCTACCTCCTACACACGATCGTAATGAGCACAAGAGTGCCATTATTACAGTGTGGTCAGCACTGCACACACCTCCGCTCATCCCTTAGGGGTGTTGAGTGTGAACGCACCTCGGTGTCCGGTTTACGAGCCTTCTCCTAAACGCGACATAATGAGAGCCTGTGTGAAATGCAGCGTCTGGAGGGCTCTGGCGTGGCTCGTCACCATGACAACCACAGCACATCCAGAGCAGGTTGGCGCGCTGAATGGCGGCGCGTGTGTTCGATGGACAGATGGAAGATAATATGCAGCAAGGCTCCCCGGTTAAGCCGGCTGCCAATAGCCTATTGGTTACTTGGCAGCATGGCTCGCTGCCTAAGCCGGCTGTTTTTTTTTAACTTATCGGTTAATAAAACAGCAAGGCTTACTATTCAATCCGTCTACCTTAAACTTGTTGGGTTTTGTTAGAAATTCAAATCAATGTTTTGATGGCATAATGTACCTTAAATGTACCTTTAGTTTAAATGCTGTTTTATACTGAAAAACCAGAAGTTCTTGTGCACAACCAGTTAGACTTTTATTCTGAAAATCCTTCACCTCCGGTTAGCATTTAGCATGAGGCTAATATACCATTTCCTATAGATGTGAATTTAGCAGTGATATGATATGATGTTGCACACCGAAACCTACTGATTTCAACACTACAACTATAGACGTCGAGATATTATTATTGTTGGATATTAAATGAAGGTACAGTTTATTTGAGTGCGTTATCGTTTACAGATGTGGGTAGCATGTCACAACATTCGGAGCGACCGGAAACCAAATTGCTGTGAAGGATTTCCTGTATTTTTTGGAGTGTTGATTACAGCGTTTGGAATGTGTTGAATGGAAAGTCATGAAAGAGTTAAGGAGGAGAAAATGAGTGTTTAGATATATATTGAATGTACAATGTCTGTATACTGTGATATGTGTAACAACGGACATTAAATAGTCGGAGAGCCGGCCCCCAGGGAGGAGCCAGGAGAGGCTATATAAACAACGAAACCTGAGGGGTTCGGCCTCTTTTCTCTGCTAGCGAGGGCCAGAGACAGCTGCTTTTCTGTCGGACAATATCCTGTTTGTGACTTTACCACGCTTTTT